GGGCTCAGGCAATCCACTCACTTCAGCCTCCCAAAGGCGCAGGATTACAGGCTGAGCCACCGAGCCCGGCCTATTTATTTTCTCAATTAGTCACTCAATCCTCCCTGTTCCCAGAGAATTTCATGAATATTTTTACTAGCATGCATTTCATTTGATCATAATTATTTATATAAGTGCCTATTCTCAAGGGCAAGGACATTCTCTCTTATTTATCTCTATATTTCCAGCAATTAGCATGGTGCCCATCATGTAGAAAACATTCCTTAAAGCAATCCTTGAAGAGTTTTATACCAAAACTTCCCTTTCTCCTGCTCTGCCTTACTAGAATACTGTATGTCCCTTCCAGAATCTTCTTTCACCTCTAGCCTGGTGAAAGTAGTAAGAGAGAGGAGTAGCCAGGTGAGCATCTGTATGTGGGCAAGAATCTTTTTACTAATTTTTTAAAATGTTTATTTATTTTAAAATTTATTTATACTAGTTATACATATTTTGGGGATACATGTGAATACATGTGATCTTTTGATACATGTATACAATGCATAATAGTCAAATCAGGGTAACTGGATTTCATCATCTCAAACACTTATCTTTTTCTTTGTGTTGGGAACATTAGAATTTTTCTCTTCTGGTTATTTCTTTCTTTTTATTTTTTAAAAGTTCAAAGTTTTAATCTTCTTCTAGTTATTTCAAAACACACAATAAATCATTGTTGCTGTAATTTCCCTACTGTACTATCGAATACTAGAACTTATTCCTCCTACCTAACAGTATTTTTGTACCCCTTAACCAATTTCTCTTCATCCCCCCCAGGGAGGTAAACCACCATGCTATGCTTTACCTCCACGAGACCCCTACTTTTTAGTTTCCACGTGAGAACACGCAATAATTACTAATTTTTAACATCCTCAACCTTCAGTTATTTAAATTTTTTAAATTGTGATACACAAATAAGACTTACTTCTGTCATTAACTCTAGTGGGGCATGATTATCCTTTCTAGGGTTGCTGTCTTCATCATTATCTTCATCATTGGTGTCATCTTCGCCATCACCATCTGTTGATTCTGACAACTTATCAATGTCCTGAAGCCAAGATTCATTATTTTTCTCCTGCTTTGCAATGACTGCACCTTTACTAATGTCACCTAAAATAGAATATACATACTTTAACTAATAAACATAGAAAAGTTCAGAAGTTAAAATTTGCCAGATCCCATTATCATCTGTGAAATTGATAAATATATTTTTAAAAAGAACACAGTTATTATAACACAGTTACATTCTGAATACTATCTATTTTAACTCATTTAATTCTCTCAACATCAGTGAGGTCTGTACTATTTTTATTCCCATGAATAGACGAAGAAAATGAGGGACATAGAGGTTAAATAACCTGCCTAACTTCACACAGCTAGTTAAGTGGTAAATCTGTGAGTCAGTTTGATTTCAGAGTCCACATTCTTAACTACATCATGTAGCATTTTTAAATACACATTAAAATAAATATACTATTAAAATAATTAATAGTAACTAAAGTCATTAATAGTAATTACTATTAAAGTAATTTTTTAAAACATTTACTAAGTGTCTCCTAAAATCATCTCCCTTGGGAACACTACAGAGAGAGTCTGCTGACTCCATTGGCTTTGTGAAAGTCTTTCCCAGTTTGAAACTGAACTTGTGTTACTCCCACTCCTTTCTTGTAAATTTTGAGTGCCTGGGAAGTCTTTGAGATGCCCTCTTTGATGGGAATGTGGGCAGGAGCTACTGTAAATAATATATAAAACACTTGTGTTAGAAGAAAATGAGGTGATCTGGGGGGTTCAGGATAAGACAATGTTACGAAGACACAAAAAGATAAAATTTCTGACTCTAAAACAAATCCCTGACTCTAACCCAAAGTACTACCCAGAAGAGGAATATCAAGTTCTAAAGAGTATGATGGCTATCTTATTCAGGCCATCCATCTACCTGCTTCTGTTTCATTTACAGTCTCCATTGGTTCACAACTGCCCTGACCTTCCAGTGTGCACGCTGCCTATGCAGGCTCATCAGGAGGTCATAATGAGGAATTAAGGACATCCTGTGATGTCATAGGGACTGTCTCATTCACTTCACAAACACTGAGCATCCTGAGAGAAGTTTCCAGATCCCTAAATTTGAAGCAGTCCTCTCCCCAGCTGCTGTTTATTTACATCATAGTACCTATCACAACCTCTAATTATCTTGCTTGTTTGTTTTTTGTTTTTATTTTTCTATACTAGTCAAGTGCAGTAATGAGAAGAAGGAGAAGAGTAGGACAAGGAGTTTGATCTGAAACTGACTGAGAAATCAGATGGATAACTCACTACCTTTGGACCAGCCCATTGTTATTTAAAAGTTGGCTATCTGTATTCTACTAGAACGTGAACTTCATATGGGCAAGAGCTTTCCCTATTTTGTGAACTATTATATTCACAGCTTCTAAAGCAGTGCCTAGCACTTTGGTTTTCAACTGTTGTTAAATGAATGGAACTTGTTAATGCTTTCATAGGTATTTTAATTCATTCTAGGATTTAACACTTTATTATCTCATGTAATATATACCCATGGATTCCACAGCTGGCTGTATGTGAGAATCCCTCAGTACATGAATTTGCTAAAACTCCTGATTCCCATAACCCGTACCAGATCTTCAGAGCTGTCAACTTCCACGGTCGTGGAAAAGGGATTACAAGCCATAGTTACTCAATTCAATAAAACACGTTATTACCTGTGTTTTCTTTTAAGAAGGAAGATGACGATAGGTTAGACTGTAGATTTGTTAAGATGTCTCTATTTTCAACACTCTTTGAAAAAACTCTGTTTTCAGTATTCCTTAAAGAGATTTTATTTTCAAAATTCTTTGTAGAGACTTCCTTCCTAAATGTTAGACAGTGAAAAAATATTTTTATAGGTTGCAATATTGTATAATGCTTTCCATGGGTTCATAAACACATGCACATTTTCTACATTTAATAGAAACATAAGGGCAACCCCCTCGGGTCCCCTCCCACTGTGGGAGCTTTTCTGTCTTCTTAATAAATTCTGCTTCAAAAAAATTTATATATAAATACACAATATAATATGCTAACAACAAACTAAATAGCTAAATGTAGTCTCTTTGTGGAAAAACCTACAAATAATTTTTGCTGGTTATTAAAATTCTGTTTCTACCTGGCCTTTGTTATTGGGTAACAATTCTTAAAATCTTTTCAGAGTTCTTTAACACAGAGCATTAAAATAATCAGTTATTCAAGTGTCTTTGATACATCAGAGTGATATGGTAAAATAAAACTATTTAAGGAAATTAACCCTGAGAGTTTTTTTTTTTAAGTTTGTAAATCAATTCCCGCCATTGCTAAATGCTACACTTATGAAGTGAGTCTAACACTTGTACTAACCTTTGGTCATATTATAAAATAACCTTTTTCATGAAGTAGTTAAACAAAAAATAGGTTACATTTCTTTTTTAGTCTTTAAGCACGAAATAAGAGATTCTTATGTGGTGTACTCTGTTCACAAAGACAGGCACCCACACTTATGGAAAAAACAAAAAACAAAACTCAGATGTCCTTTTTGAGGTCTTAAGAATCAACAGTCTTCCTTACAAAGTTTTAAACAATTCAACTTCTAGTTTGCATGGAAATATTTAAAAAGATGTTAAGTTTTTTTTTTTTCTCTAAAAGTATGGTGGCTCTGTTTTTTCCCTCACTGAAATGTGAAAGGAGAACATTAGTAGGAAACTTAGTGGTCATGTGCAACTGATTTAAAAAATAGGTTGACCAGTTTGTTATATTCTTAATTCTATGCGAGGGAATGGAATCTTTATTTCCCCAGTATATGCAACTAAAGTAAAACCCTTTTCTGGAAATGAAAAATGCATAGAAAAGATGATTTACATTTGCCCTGCCTCTGCTCCTCCCATCTGATTGTGAAAGAAAACATCCAAAAAGAAACTCTACATATGAAAAACTGAGAAATCACTGAAATATTCAGTTACCAGTATGGTGAGATTCCAAAGGTTGCAGCAAATGATTGCTAGAATTTATATGTTCTAATCTCTAACCTAGATAAAAGGGCTTTGATACCTTTTTTCTTCCCTGAATTACAGTATTTCATTGAGTCTATATCATGTATTTATTATAAGACATGCCATTGTTTATGTACCACTAAAAAACTATTGCCAAATATAAGTGTAAGATGACATCAATTGTAAGAGATGCTAAAATATGAAAAAAGTGTGCTTGCTTTAGAATCTATGAAATATATAGCACTTTTATATTTACTGCGTTATACCTCCAAAAAGAGGAATTTAGCTAGTATAAGTCCTAGGTATTTTGAATAACTGAAAATGCCTTTAATAATTTTAACGAAACACACATGGAGGCAGCCAACATACTCAGTGGCCTGAAGATAAATAGAATATTACTATTTGGAAGACCTATATGCAAATTGATCCAATTGTGATTTTAACAGTAAAATATAATTCATTTTCTGCTTAGTTTCTCTAGTTCTTCTATTACATAGTTTCAAAGACTCAGAGACCCAAAGTTGACTTCCTCTTCACTTGAAATCTACTGACTTCCATTTGAGAAAGTGATGTTACTTATGGTAATATGACCTCTAAACATTTAAGAAAAGCAGGTAACTAGTATACTCTAAAAGACCTGTTTTTGTTAACTTTAACTTAAATACAGTCACAACTAAGGAAAGATTCAAATTTTTACTTTATTTAATAATATCCTTTGTAAATGAGAAGTATTTATTTTAGTACTTAATAAAGTTATAAATCGCCAGGCGCAGTAGCTCACGCCTGTGATTCCAGCACTTTGGGAGGCAGAGGCGAGAATATTGCCTGAGCCCAGGGTTGAAGACCAGTCTGGGCAACTTGGTGAGACCTTATCTCTAGAATAAATAAATAAAAAAAAATTTAGCTTGGCGTGTTGGTGCATGTCTGTAGTTCCAGCTACTTGGAAGGCTGAAGCGAAAGGATTGCCTGAGCGCAACAGGTTGAGGCTGTGGTAGCCGTGAGTGTGCCACTGCATTCCAACCTGGGTGACAAAGTGAGGCTCTGATTCAAAAATAAAAATAAAGTTACAGAGTTAATTAGGTTAGATATTCCACTGGAACATATTTGTGCTAGAGGGTAGCTAACCTAAGTTTTAAGATTTTTCCTTAGTATGTGAAAAGCATTGGGGATATATAGGATATGTCCCCATTTCTATTGGAATCAATTTTTTAGGAGATGTATATTTTAAACTTTGAATTAAAATGATTTATACTTGTCAAACTTGGGCCTGAAAACAAAATTAAAACTTACTTTTCTGAGACTGTCTTAGTTACACTTAGAGAGACTGCTGTTAGTAGGGTATAGATTGCTTGCTAATCTTAATCTGCATCTACAGAGGCATTTACTTAAAGTGTAAGAATAGGAATAATAATATTTTTTTGCTGGGCGTGGTGGCCCATGCCTGTAATCCCAGCACTTTGGAAGGCAGAGGTGAGAGGATTGCCTGAACCCATGGGTTCGAGACCAACCTGGACAATATGGTGAGACCTCATCTCTACAATAAACCTGAAATGGGGAACCCCAAGAAACTTAAAATAAACTTAGTTCACATTTTAAAAAAAAAAGCTTAAAGAAAAAATAATTTTTCATTCTTTTTAGGGTGATAAAACATATGATTATGTAACAAAATCTTTGTAGACACAATATGTTCAGCCTCAGTTAAAGAGTTGAGTGCTGTGGATTTGCTTCAGTCATTTTCCCCTCACATTTTTCAGTATATTTGAAAGTTTGACCAAAAAAAAAAAAAAAAAAAACCAACAGAGCAAAGGGCCAAGATCTACAAAACTTTGTCCAGTGTTAAAGATATATTTTACTTCTGCTGAAAATAATTTGTTAATTAAAAACAATTTGTTGGGTAGACAAACTCTTTCCCACATGGAATTTATAGAGGAAAAAGGAAATGATATGTGTGGGATTTGTGGGCCCAGAAGTTTAAAACTCCTGGTTTATGGAGTCCACATACTTCTTATACTAGGACTGGAGTGAAGAATCAGAAGACTAAGGCAAAGAACCAGTGGAGAGAAAAAACGTGTAATTTTCCCTAACCCAACCTAGACAGGACCTTTTGACAAATCCCACTTGCTAGTCAGCCTCTGAACATCCATCAGTTATGCTCGTCAGTCACACTCTTCCTCAAGAAAGGGTCTCCATGATTTTCAATTATTTTTTCCAAGACTGGCCCTGTTTCCTTCAACTCTGGGTGAGGTGCCCGAGGTAAAAAAAAAGTCACACAATAAAAATAAATTAAAAAAAAAAATCAGCCGGGCGTGGTAGTGCGCACCTGTAATCCCAGCTACTCGGAAGGCCGAGGCGGAAGGATCGCCAGAGCCCAGCGGGTCGAGGCTGTGGTGGCCGGGAGCGGCCACTGCACTCCAGTCTGGGCGACAGAGGGAGACTCCAACTCAAAAAATAAATAAATAAATAAATAAAAAGTAAATAAAAAAGTCCCACACCTGTGAAACTTATTGGCTATCCTGACCACCTTTGCTCTTCTCTGCAGGCAAATTAAAGGGAACATGATCATTTTGACCTTGCACACCATAGTTTGATAGGCAGACACAATTATGACTGAGATCGAGAGAACGAATAGTCACTCAACTTTCTTTTTTTTTGAAGTATGAATATAATTTTATTAATAACCAATTCTGTTTTAAAACGGAAAGGTATTTTACATTGCAGTATATCCATGGCATAGATTCTCATATACCACAGGACTTTGGTATAAAACCTGTGATGTTTTAAGACCTCTATTAAAATTTTTTTTAATTTATATTTTATTTTAAAGATGTGTGATACAATTCAAGATGAGGTATACAAGTGAAAATTGTACAGGTGAAGTTTGGGCCTCCCTTTGGTCCCACTTTGCCTAGTTTGAGATCAGGTACCCTTATTGATGTTGTGCTCTCTCCCTCCCTGACCCTTGCATTACGTCACTCAACTTTTCTATGCTGGCCCAGGCATTTGATTACCTTTGGGGTTTACCTACCACAGGATGTGGCTCACCCTTTCTCTAGTTCCAGAACTGCTTTTCACAGTCTATGAACACTGGGGTTCATGAACACAACAGTGATCTATTAGCTTCTATTATTAGTATTGAAAGTTTTACCTCATATTTCTCTCAAATGCAACTGAATATTTCTTAGATTTTTGAAATTTAAATGTTTTCAACAATGTAATAGGATAAATATAATTACATGTAGATCAATATACTTAACAGGATGTCTTTCCCCCCCCCCGTTGGTTGTAACTTTATTTTTTAAATTTTAATTTACTCTATTTTATTTTATATTTAGAAACAGGATCTCACTCTGTCACCCAGGCTAGAGTGCAGTGGTGCAATCATAGCTCACTGCAGCCTCAAACTCCTGGGCCCAACACTCCTCCCACTTCAACCTCCCTAGTAGCTGGGACTATAGACACGTGCCACATTGCACTGCTAATTTCTTAATTTTTTTGTAGAGATGGGGGATCTCACTATGTTGCCCAGGCTGGTCTTTAACTCCTGGCCTCAAGTGATCCTCCTGTCTCAGCCTCCTAAAATGCTGGGATTACAGGCATGAGCTGCTGCACCCAGCCTGGTTGTAACTTTAAACTGAAATAAAGATAGATCCTCTGTCATTGGTCTGCTAGACAATATTTTCTCTGTAAAATAAAAATATGTATTATATTTATACAGTATATGTAATTTACAACAAAAGTCAAGGTGGATATTTTTAGCTTTGACAGTATAAAAATTGTGGTATATATTGCATAAGGTAGAATTTTTCCCAGCCAATAATATTCAGAATAAACCAAAACAATATGAATTTGAATAAAAGAATCCCTCCAGATAGTACCTACCAATTTGTCAATAATCTCCATGAATGTGCTTTATGATCAACTTTCAAGCTGTAATTTTTTTATGATACATAATATAATTTTTCAGAAGGTAGGAGATGATCATTACAGTAAGGGCTTTAATAAATTATCAGAAGCAGTGCCTTGAACAGAGCAGTACTTAGTATTTAACTACTAAATTGATATAATGCTATGATTTTTTACACTTAATCTTAAGCCAAAAGGCTGAAAAGTGATATATTGTGATATTTTTAAACACCAGTTTCTTCAATAGTTGAACTGGTTATTTTTTTTTATATTTAGTTAGTAACAATTCACGCTATAGTACATAACCTACTTAATTTTAAGGCAAATATTCACTTAAAGAGATATTCTGAAAGAAATAAGTATTCAAGGGAAATAGGAATGAGCAATGAACATTATGACATAAGGAAAATACAGAATACATGGTTTTAAGTATTAAAAAGTAGAAGCGAATATTATCTATACCTCTATATTTTTATCAAAATTCATTTTTCATTTTAAATGTCCTATCTAAGTAACAATTGCTTTGACTGAAGCAAAAGCTGAAGTGCTAACCCATGCATTTCTGTCCTTTCAAATTTAATTGGGTGACAAATGGTTGCATTATCTAGTTCTAATTGCCTAAAAGGCATGTGATATTTCAATTGCACAATCAAAGACATCTTCTTACTCTGACATTGCTTCATTTGGTTCAATCATCACTTGTTCAGAGAGAGACAGAGAGAGAGAGAAAGAACCACAGTTTTGTATCGACAGTGATGTCCCTAAGATAAACTCCAAATTGGCAAATATTTAGGATTTTTTTAGAAGATGGACAATAAAGAATTTCATTACTAAGTCATTCAATCACACTCAACCATTCCAATATTCTTAATATTTAGGACAAGTTGGGTACAGTGGCTCACACCTGCAATCCCAACACTTTGGGAGGTGGAGGTGAGAAGATTGCCTGAGCCCAGGCATTCGAGACCTTGTCTCTACAAAAAATAAAAAAGCTTATTCAGGTGTGGTGGTATATGTCTGTAGTCCCATCTACTTGGGAGGCTGAGGCAGAAGGATCACCTGAGCCCAGGAGATAAAGACTGTGGTAAGCTGTGAGCATGCCACTGTACTCCAGCCTGGGTGACAGAGTGAGACTCCAATTCAACCCCCCCCAAAAGAACAAAATAGTGGTCTAACACATTCTTTCTATGTAATAAATTATTTACCCTTGGATCTAACACTAGCAACTGCCATTCTGTCTAGTTTTTAGTGCCTAAAATAGAAGTAGAAATAAAAACTAGCATTCTTTTTAGTTTGAGGTATTTGAAATAATGTAATAATATCTGAAATAATATATTAAATATATTAAATAATAAATGTTTTATATAAACATTTCTATTATCTAGACTAAAATATAATTTTATACTAAAGCTGATTATTATTATTTATTTATTGAATTGAAGTCTAACACTGTCACCCAGGCTGAAGTGCAGTGATACAATCAGGGCTCACTGCAGCCTTGACTTCCTAGATTCAAACAATCCTCCTGCCTCTGCCTCCTGAGTAGCTGGGTCTACAGGTATGTGCCACTACACTCAGCTAATATATTGATTTTTTTTTGCAGAGACAAGACCTCGCTATGTTGCCTAGGCTGGTCTCGAACTCTTGGGCTCAAACAATCCTCCCATCTTGGCCTCCCAGAGTGCTGGGATGACAGGTGTGAGCCACTGCAGCTGGCTCCTAAAGCTGATTATTTTAAAACTATGTAAATTGATGGCAAAATAAACCCATAACACTCTTTAGAAATAGTTTAATACTCTTACCTTTTCAGCATCTGTCTTGTCTAGAGAATTCCTGCAAAAAGCAAAATGTTTACTTCATAAGTTGCCAAATACTTGTATAAATTTAAAATATAAATAAAACAGAACACAGTCTATCCAAAGGGTATTAAGTATGTATTTTGTTTTTGTATTTAGTAGTATTATTTTCATCCTAACTGTAAAATCTCATTCTTTTGGATTATGAAATTGGGCTTTAAAAAAATCTAGAGAGCTGGGAATGGTGGCTCACACCTATAATTCTAGCACTTTGGGAGGCCAGGGTAAGAGGATTGCTTGAGCCCAGAAGTTTGAGACCAGCCTGGGAAATGTAGTGAGACCTTGTTTCTACAAAATAAAAAAGCTTATCCAGGTGTGGTGGTGCATGCCTATAGTCCTGTAGCTACTTGGGAGACTGAGGCAGAAGGATCGCCTGAACCCAGGTGGTCAAGGCTGCAGTGAGCTGTTAGAAGGCCACAGCATTCCAGCCTAGGTGACAGAGTTCTGACTCAAAAAAAAAAAAGTTTTAGGGAAATTAAATCCTCCCCTTCTCTCCACATTACCTTGGAGTTTATGTAAAAAAGAACTAAAGAATAATTTTGCATGGAAGAAAAGAGATATATTAAATAAGGCTTTAATTCTTTACCTTTTTGGTTTTGATAACTTGGACTTTGGACCTAGATCCAAATACATCAACGGCAGGCTAAGGACTTGTCTTTCCTACTGAGCTGACCCTAGAAATCATAAATTCATCTTGGCTCACATTTACAATACCATTTATCTTCCCTACTTCAATAAAACACAATACGCAAATCCAACTGTCTGCCACATTCCAGTTTATTGGTGTCATAAAAAAGAAAAAAATTTTAAAGTATATGTGACCAGAGCAAAAAAGAAATTTTTCCATGATATTTCCAGATATGGTATTTTAAATAAAGTGTTATTTGAAAAAATACATACATATAGAAATGACCTTTTAATTTTATCCAAATATACATTTTTAAATAGAATTCTTACTTTATAAGTTCCTCATGTGTTTGTTAATACTTAAAGTTACAATATTTTCTCTATGATTTTTTTTACCTTTTTAAGTTACCCAATTATAGAACTGATTTTCTTATGCTGCAGCCCTTCATATATCGATAAGTTTCATTCTAATATTAAAGAGGAAAATAAACTCCTAAGGTTTTTTTCAAGTATGGGAGTGGTCACACAATTTTTTATAGGTAATAATCTACTAGCTCTTCCCTCTAACATTTGCCCCCATATCCCAAGCCAGACTTTAAAAATTATCATAATTATTATGTATCTAGGGATTTCTGGAATACAAAATTTAGGGCTATGACTGTGGACAATAAAAGAGTAGCTTCATTGTTTTGTATTAAGCATTTCTTTTTAAAAATCCATCCCCCTCACACTGACTTACACTTCCAAATAAAGTGGTTGAACATAATCTTTTGTCCCAGGCCTTGTTTTGGGGGGGGCACTAACCAAGCCAGATGCTATATACGTTATTAACTTTTTTTTTTTTTTGAGTCAGAGTCTCACTCTAACTAGTACAGTGGCAGTGTAATCACAGCTCACAGTCATCTTGACCTCTTGGGTTCAGATATCTTTCCGCCTCAGCCTCCTTAATAGCTGGGACTATAGGTGCATGCCACCATCTCCTGCTAATTTTAGAAATTTTTTGTAGAACTGAGGTCACACTATGTTGCCTAGGATGGTCTCATACTCCTGGACTCAAGTAATCCTCCTGCTTAGGACTCCCAAAGTGCTAATATTACATTTGTGCCGGGCAAACTTGACTGATCTTCTAAGAAACTCATAGAGCCGGGCACTGTGGCTCATGTCTGTAATCCCAGCACTTTGGAAAGTGAAGGCAAAAGGATTGCTTGAGCCTAGGGGTTTGAGACCAGCCTTAGCTACTTTGTCTCTGCAATAAATAAAAATATTAGCCAGGGGTGGTGGTGCAGGCCTGTGGTTCCAGCTATTTGGAAGGCTGAGGTGGAAGGATGACCTGAGCCCAGCAGGTAGAGGCTGTGGTGGCCGTGAGCATGCTACTGCACTCCAGTCTGGGCAACAGAGTGACTAAAAAAAAAAGAACAAACAGCAACAACAACAACAAAACTCACAGAGAGCTAAAGTCTATGAGAACAGCAAGGCATCTTTTGGGATTGAACTTGTGGAATACTAAATTTTAGAATAAATGAAAGATTCTCCTCTGATTCACTAGGGCAGTAAAACTCTATAGCTGAAACAATGCAATATGGAATGAAATAAGAAATCCAAGATGACCTCACCTGAGATGAGCTTACAGTTCCCAGATTTGCAGTTCTGTGGGGACCCATATATTCCATAGGGCATCCCCTTTATATTTAGAGTCCTCCTTTTTAGCTCTAAGATCTTCATAGATTGCAACATTCCACTCTTTACCTGGATGAACTCTTAGTGCACATAATTCTTGCCCCATTTTCACCTGGTGAAAAGAAAACCTAGGATGGGCAGATCTTACCCCTCGATGGAGATCCAGGCTCTGTTCACCTTGGCTTTATCATTATCTAGGAAATGTCCATGTAATTGCCTGTCATAAATTGAATTCCTTGGGAGGCAGGACAGAGTGATACCCAAGAGCTGGGGCTCTTGAGTGAAAGATACTCTGCCACTTCCCAAGGGAATTTGGACAAGTTACTTAACTTCTTTAAGCTTCTGTTCTTCCATATAAAAAATGGGATCACCGCGGCACCCACTTTACTGGATTATTACAAGGGTTAAATGTGATAATCAGGGTGATGCATTTAGCACAGAGCCTGGCACATAGGAGGGAAACTGTAGAATAACTTAATGTTTTATCTAAAGGAAAAGCTGGGAAGCTATCCCATGGGGCTGATTAAAAGTGCTTAGGGAAGCAAAAAGGAGGCTTTATTGTGATTGAGACTGCAGACTAGCTCTGAGGGCTTTAAATTAATTAATTAAACTTAAAAGTCACATAAGTCCTAGAGTATTGACACTTGTTTAGAAAGCTCAGACTTCAGGGGAAAAAAAAATACCAGAGTAATTTAGAACAAGGTAAAAATTAAAGCAACAACCAATAAGCTGAGCGGAATGAGAAACAGCTTTTGGACAGGTAATATACATTTCAAAAATACCAGTATATGGCCAGGCTCGGTGGCTCAGCCTGTAATCCCAGCACTTTGGGAGGCCGAGGCGAGTGAACTGCCTGAGCCTGCAGGTTGAAAACCAACCCAGGCAACTTGGCGAGACCTCGTCTCTACAATAAAAAAAAAAAAAAAACATTAGCTGGCCGTGGTAGTGCGCACCTGTAGTTCCAGCTACTTGGAAGGCTGACGTGGAAGGATCATGGAAGTCCTGCACGTTGAGGCTGCGGTGACCGGGAGCATGCCACTGCACTCGTCTGGGCAACAGAGTGAGACTCCAATTAAAAAAAAAATACCAGTATGCAAAAAATATCTGAAAGGAAATGCTTTCAGAAAAGAAACTGAATATCAGTGGATTCTGGGGAAGAAAAACGAATGGCTGCAGGACTGGGGTTGGAGGGAGATTACTTTAGTTTCCTTGTTGAACTCTAAACGATATAAATGTACTATCTATTTAGAAAAAAAAAGACAGCCGGGGGGGGCACATAACATTAAAAAGGGTACCTGATCCCAAACCAAGCGAAGTGGGGATCAAAGGGAGGCCCAAACTTCACTTTTACGATGACCACTTATATACCTAATCCTGAATTGTACACCACATCTTTAAAATTAAAAAAAAAAAAGGCAATTTAAAATGTGCAATGCCATTTGCATCTCTATGTTTATCCATCTTTTATAGGCATGTGAGCAATATGTTGGCCTTGGGCCACTTCATTATCCTCTCCCTACTGTGGTAACTGTTTAAACTGGAGTCATAGTATCCACAAAAAAAAGTCTGCAGGTACACACTTTGTGCATTCATTACTATTGATTATGGTTAATGTTAACATAACAACACTTATTTAATCATCCTTTTAAATATCAACCAAGTACATCCTCCGGCTTTTGGAACCTGGGCTGACACTCCTTATATAAAAAATTTCAACAGTACCTGTGGAATGAGAACAATACAATTATGATAGTTCTAAATTTTCATGCAACATTTTCTATTTAAAACAGATATTTGGGCCAGGCTTGGTGGCTCAGCCTGTAATCCCAGCAGTTTGGGAGGCCGAGGTGAGTGGATTGCCTGAGGCTGTGGGTTCGAGACCCGCCTGGGCAACTTGGCAAGACCTTATCTCTACAATAAATAAAAAACTAGCCGGGTGTGGTAGCGCGTGCCTGTAGTTCCAGCTACTTGGAAGGCTGAGGTGGAAGCATTGCCAGAGCCCAGCAGGTCGAGGCTGCGGTGGCCGGGAGTGGCCACTGCACTCCGGTCTGGGCAACAGAGTGAGACTTCAACTCAAAATAAATAAAGAAAGAAAGAAAGAAAGAAAGAAAGCAGATATCTGGGCTGGGTACAGGTGGATTACACCTGTAATTCTAGCACTTTGTGAGGTGGAGGCAGGAAGATCACTTGAGGTCAGGAGTTTGAGACCAGCCTGGACAACATAGTGAGACTCTGTCACTATAAAAAAATGTTTTTTTTCAAATTTTATTTTTGAGTTGGAGTCTCGCCCAGACTGGAATGCAGTGGATGCTCCCGGCCACCGCAGCCTCGACCTGCTGGGCTCCGGCGATCCTTCCGCCTCAGCCTTCCAAGTATCTGGAACT